GGTCATATGGTAGTTCTATTTTTAGTTTTTAAGGAACCTCCATTCTCTAGCATACTGTATCACTGGCAAGAACATAAATCTCATAAAGTTATTTTGGGTAGATAAAGAATCATAATTTAAATTATGCTTCTCAGGGTATATGCCCAGTAGTGGAATTGCTGGGTCATATGGTAGTTCTTTTTTTAGTTTTTAAGGAACCTCCATTCTCTAGCATACTGTATCACTGGCAAGAACATAAATCTCATAAAGTTATTTTGGGTAGATAAAGAATCATAATTTAAGCATATTACATATTTAGTGTAATAGTTTTTAATTGCAGAATACTTTTTTTTATGAAAGTGTAATTGATGTGCGAAGTTATATTAGTTTCATTTTTACAACACAGTGATTCAATATTTTTATAGATTGCACTTCTTTTAGAGTTATTTAAATATTGGCTATATTCCCTGTGGTATACAATATATCTTTGTTATCCTACCTATTTTATACATAGCAGTTTGTACCTCTTAATCCCCTAACCCTATCTTGCCCCTCCCCCTATCCCTACTCCCACTGGTAACCACTAGTTTGTTCCGTGGTACCTATGAATCTGTTTCTGTTTTGTTATATTTATTTATTTATTTTTATTTTTTAGATTTCACATATAAGTGATAACATCCAGTATTTTTCTTTCTCTGTATGACTTATTTAACTAAGCATAATACCCTCCAGGTCCATCCCTGTTGTTGCAAATGGCAAAATTTCATTCTTTTTATGGCTGAGTAATATTTCATTGTAAATATATATACATCTTTTTTATTCAGTCATCTGTTGATGGACATTTGCATAATACTCATTTTAAACTTTTTCTTTTTTTTTTAGTATTGCTAATATAGGTTGGCTTTTTATGGAATGAGGGACTGATTGTCATTTCATGCTAAGCTTTTGTCTTCACCTGAAATTTGGTTCCAAATGCCAATATGATATCTTATACATCTTTGTGTGTAGTTAATACTCAGTAAATATTATTGATTATTATAGTGCTTGCCATGGTTTGTCAGGCACAGACATAATTGTCTTTGGTCTAGTGTTTTTAGAATCCTTGGTGGAGCCTTATTTCTGATAGTGAGTTATTTTATCTGTCTGATTGTGTGCTGTTTGGCACATGGGTAAGTTTGGGGATAGAGCAGACAGAATTTAAGATGGCTTTCATAATCATCACCTCCTGGTGTTCATGCCTTTGTGTAATTTCTTCCCCTTGAGTGTGAATAGAACCTGTCAATTCCTTTAATAAATAGAATATGACAAGTTTGATGAGATGTAACTCCCATGATTATGTTATGTTATACAATACTCTATCTCAGCAGTCCCCAAATTTTTGGCACCAGGGACTGGTTTCATGGAAGACAATTTTTCCATGCACGGGGTGGAGAGGGTGTGGGGGGGGATGGTTCAGGTGGTAATGAGAGCAATGGGGAGTGGCAGGAGGAGCAGCAGATGAAACTTCACTGGCTCTCCTGCCACTCACCTCCTGCTGTGTGGCCTGATTCCTACCAATCTGCCGCTCGGGTGTTGGGGACCTGTGCTCTATTTTGTTAGCAGACTCACTCCAGAGATTCTTCTTTCTGCCTTGACTAAGTGCCATGTTAAGGAAACATACATGGCAAGGAACTATGGGTGGCCTCTAGGAGGTGAGGGCAATATCTAGAAGTTGAGTGCAACCTGTAGCTGACAACCACCAAGAAGGCAGGTCCTCAGTCCTTCTAATGCAAGGAAATAAAGACTACCAACAATCTAAGAAAGTTTGGAAGTAAATTCTTCCCCAGCGTAGTCTCAAGATGATAACATAACCCAGTCAACTCTTTTTTTTTTTTTTTTTTCCGTACAACCCAGTCAACTCTTGATTTCAGCCATTGAGACCCTGAACAGAGCAGCCTGCTAAGCCATGACCCACCTCCTAAATCTTGGAAACTGTGAAATAATGAATCTGAGTTGTTTTAAGCTGCTAAATTTGTAATAATTTTTTAACACAGCAATAGAATACTATTATAGGGTAAGTTGTTTTGATACCCTGAAGTTCCCTAAGGTAATTCAGTTCTTCCTTGCCTGGAAAAGGCAAGGAAAAATTAGTGGGTCTATTAGAGATATTATAAAGAGAAATAGTGGTGGCATAGAACAAAGGCATAGACAGCCTCAGGTTGTTTAGGAGACAAAGTATAGAAATCGCATTTTTATATGGATAGCTGTAAGTAACTTATCATTCCCTTTTAAAATGTATACCTAGAAGCCTTCACACTCATATATAAAGTATGACATTGAAAACAAAATAACAATTGATTTAGTAATAATTACATTGAACCAGTTAGGTGTATATTTAAAACAGATATGTTTTAACTAATACTTCATTATGGGGACCAAAATTTCTTTTTGCAAAGTGACTTAGGTCTCATATAGAATATTGTCATTAGGAGAACTACCAGGATAGACACTATCTCCACTTCTTTGATACTATAGTCAAAATTGATGCCTTTGTGTTAATTATTTTTTTAATTAATTAATTTTTTCTGGAGGTGGAAGGAATGGAGTAAGACTAAAGCTGCAATTGATTTAAAAAAGCAAGTCACTCATATTAACTTAGAGAAGCAGGTGTTTGGTATTTTGTGATTCGGAGAGTCTTTCTATTGTTTTCTGTTCTCAAAATGTTTATGGAGTGGTCTTTTTATTGTCTTGTTCCATTGTGGTTATAGATGAACTTGTCATATAAGTGTTCTGTGAAAATACTTATTTTCACAGAAAAACACGACAGCCTAATCTTTAGGACCAAGCTAACTCTAAACTGACAGCAGTCAATGATTTTTTTTTTTTTTTCATCAATAAGAAGTGAGTATGCTTGTACATACTTCTGTGTGCACATCTGTGAGAATATCTCAAGGTGGAACCCTGGGTCAAAGGGAAAATACAAACAACTTTACTGAATACGAATGACATTATTGCCCTCCCAAAATGGCTGCACTCATTTATAATCTCATCTGTAATGACTGGATTTCTTCTCAGCATCTGGTTTTTTAATTTATAATCTGCTTGTCAATTCCCTTTAATTGTTATAGTATTTCTTGGAAGTAAACTTCATTATTATTACTATTGTCATTATCATTGTTTTTCCTTGCCTTTGTATTCTGAGTTACCATAGCGATATTCTAATTTTATTTATTTATTATTTTTTTAATCTTTTGACTCTCTTTACCCATTTCTCCCATTCCCCAGCCCTGCTTCTGGCTACTACCAATCTGTTCTCTATATCAATGAGTTTTTTGTTTGCTTGTTTGTTTTTTGTTTGTTTTTGTTTTGGATTCCACATATAAGAGATATCATATGGTATTGTCTTTCTCTTTCTGACTTATTTCCCTTAGCATAATGCTTTCAAACTCCATCCATGTTGTCAAAAATGGCAACATTTCATTATTTTTTATAGCTGAATAATATCCATTGTATATATGTACCACACCTTCTTTATCCATTCACCCATTGATGAACACTTGTTTCCATATTTTGGCTATTGTAAATAGTGCTGCAATAAATATTGGTGACACATATATTTTTCTGAGTTAGTGTTTTCATTTTCTTCAGTCAAATCCCCAGAAATGGAATTGCTGGATCATATGGTAGTTTTATTTTTAATTTTTTGAGGAAACTCAAAACTGTTTTCTATAGTGGTGGCATCAATGTACATTGCCACCAACAGTCCTCAAGGGTTCCCTTTTATCCACATCCTCACCAACACTTGCTTCTTGTGTTTTTGATTATAGCTATCATTATCATTTTATTTTTCCCTGGTCCTTGTATTCTGAGTTATGAATTGTCTTAAATATTTCATTATAACAATATTCTAATATTCTAATCAGGAAAGAATTATGTCATTACAGATATTAGTTGATTAAGTAAATTCAAAGCAACCTAAATGTTAAAAAAATATTAACAATTACTATTTTAGGCCATGAATTAGTCCTCAAACCTTAATGAATGAGATAAGATGATTTATTCAACTAACTAAATAGAATAGATAGTAATATTTTTTTCTCCTATCCATAAAGCAAAGTTAGAAGAAGAAATTTGGACTTTGTTATGGACTGAAGTTTGTGTCCCCCTTTCCCAAATTCATATGTTGAATCTCTAATCACCAGTGTGATGGTATTTGGAGGTGTGCCTTTGGTACATACACAGTCATGCATGTGGAGCCCTCATTAATGGAATTAGTGTCTTAGAAGAAGTGACATTAGAGAGCTTGCATCCTTTGTTTTGTGCCATGTGAGGACACAAGGAGAATTTGGCTGTCTGCAAAGCAGAAAGAGGGACCTCATTAGCCACCAAATCTGCAGGTACCCTGATCTCAAACTTCGCAGGCTCCACAACTGTGAGAAATATATATTTATTGTTTAAACCATTTATTCTATGGTAAATTGTTATAGCAACCCAAACCAAGACAATTTTCTTTTGGAAAATTTTTAAAAATGTACACTGTATGTACTTATATATATTTTCTCTTTTCTAATTAAATGTACACACTAAGAAATAATTAAATCTGATGACAATTATTGGTACATACATACCAATATTACAAATTTTACATAAAATTTGTAATATATACATACAATATTACAAAAATTACATAAAATTTTTGCTTAATTTAAAAATCACCTATTTTAATTATATCTTAATTACACACAATATATATTTAGTAACTAGTATACAGTTTCAGCTGATACTTAGCAAGAGTAACTAGAACAATTAAATTCTTCTAAATATGTTAAAATGTTGAATCAAGGCCATATTAATATTATAAAATCAGTATTAATATTGTACACTGTGCAATAACTTTAGATAGATGTTATTAAAATCACATTTTACACAATATAAGAAATAAATGAAGAGGGTAAATAATTAGGGTGAATAAGTAAATAAGTATGGTGAAACTTAAATCCAGATGTTAATTTCTCTTTGACAACTGGGACTGATGGTGATCTTCATGACCAGTTGATTTCTATTGGCTCATCTAGAGTAACGTTATTCTGTCTTAGATCAATGTTTAATATCTAAAAAAAAATAAAATGGTAATTAATTGTTTAATCAGAACTGATTTTTTTAACAAAAACTAATTCCATAAATAAATGCTCTATTAGTAAACAGGTATAGCTTGTTTTTCTTTTCCATTTTGATTAATTTTTATTCCAGAGAGTTCACAACCATGTCAGTAGTAGTCTCACCGAACCCATCCATTATACAGATGATGAAAATAAGTCTCACAGGGGGAGAATGGTTGTCAAAATACAACTAAAAACTGAGACTATTAACCAATTATCTTATTTCTACTACTTTACTCTTTCTCCATGACTCCTAAATATGCAGTTATTCATAATTGCACTACATAGATCTCTATGCACTCTGCCCTCAAATATTATCCAGTCATCTAGAGACAAAACTTAGATTTTAGAAATATGTTTTCTTTTACATCAATCTTAAAGGGCTTTAAGATGCTGAATTTATTGCCAATTATTTCATTGTGCATGTTACTTTCTTTCACTGGAGAGAATCTCTGTCAGACCATATAGGGACTAAGTATGGAGGTGACCAATTAAGGCACTGTACTCAAACAATCATCTGTAATATTTTTTAAATATGTTGATTTCATTAGACTTTTCCATTGCTCCAATAGACTCACATGACCCTCAGTGTCTTAGCTCAGAAAGTTGAATTCATTCATCAAATATGCAAGAGAAGAAGAAAACCAACATTTCTTCACTGCTAAACAAATACAAACACTCACTGGGGAATTTATAAAATTTATTGTTTACTAAAGCACAGCATCTTAGGATTTATTTCCCATGCTTCATAACAGGAGAGTTTAAAAGGTAAAAGGAAAATATTTTTTTAGTATCTATTAGTCAGGTTTGAAACTGATCCATCTTACACCAAAACCTAACTTACTTCCTTTATATCAAAAGTGAAAAGCAGTACCTCACATATATTTTAATACCTATACAGATGGCAACTAGGCAAAATTGATGCTAGGAAAGTGTCTTAAAAATTGTATTGATAGAACAATTAAATGTCCTTTGCATATAATTTCTACACTCATGGAAAGGGCAACCAAAAATAGAGAAAGAATTTGACTACTCCCTCCTTTTCCCATATATCTATAAAAACTCAGAAAACAGTAGATGCTCATAAATATTTGTTTTATTTAAATACATTTAGAAGGGACTACTCCTTTGTTAGTAAAGTTAATATCTTCTTTTGGAATCATTGAGATAATGAACCATGTATAAAATTTATTCTTAATACTTAAAATTCTTTGTGAATGTGTTTGAAAACAGTGGAATGAAATTTTCTTTATAAGTGGTGTTTTTTATGCCAAGTATTTGGTCAAAATTATCTTGAAATAATACTTGATACGTTAAAATATCTTATTTGACCTTGTTCAGCTGACTGTATTTAGTTTACTTTTATAGTAAAAATTGTGAACTTTATTTTTCACCATTGTTGTAGTAAATAAGAACAAGAAAAAAATGTAAGGAAAACCAGTGTTCTTTAATCTCATTGAACATTGGGCTGTTCAGAAAAACTGATTTCTAATTATGATTGGTAATCATTGACTATTTATTCCTGAGGAATTAATTTTCCTTTTTAAAGATTCCGTTTCTTAGTTTGCCAGATAAGACCACTGGACTAAATCATTGATTCCCTTACTTTGGAATTTTATAATCAGGTGAAATCTTAAAAGAAGAAAAATGGGGGTGAGGTGGTGGGTTATCAACTTTTATTTTACCATGGAAGGTCATTAAATATATAAAACTCTAATTTTCCAACCTTGATAGAATTTAAAGAAATAGAAGTATTTTAATGCCAAAGTAGTAATTAAGAAATAGTTGCATATTAAAGGGGAAATTCTTATTGCCTACAGAACAGCAATAACAATAGGACAGATGTTAAATTTCAACTGGAAGAAATGGCTTCTCAGGTGCTGTTCAACTCTTACATTTTGTACAATTTATGAAAACCTAAAATTGTGCCCAAGATAGTTACTATTTTTTTAACTTGTAGTCAGACAAACAACTAGCTATTTTGTAAGTTAAATTCATCTGAAGTGTTTAGTTGATAAAAAGCTAGTTGTTTTTATTCAACTTTAAACACAAACAGGTATGTGTACACACACTCAAAGTTTTAGCAGTGCAGATGTAGCCTTAAACTTGGATCAAACACTTTAAACAGTTAGCTGGCTTCTAGAATATATGTTCTTTGAAATCTACTTTCACAGAATTTAAGACAGGAAGGAGCTTAAGAGGTTGTTTACTTGCATATTCTTACTTAACTGTAAGGAAAAAGAAGTCCTGAAATTATTTATTCAACGTAAAAAAGCTCGTTACTAGCAGCAAAGGGATTTTAACATAATAATCCTGACTCCTTCGTGTAAACCATATCCTCACACAGCTCTATGTCAAATTATTCATAGATGCTAATAGACAATTCTAATAGTTTTGCAAGGATTTTCAAGTATATTTTATCTCAGATATATTAAATGTTCAAATGTGAACATTTTGGTTTTGAAAAGTATTAGTTTTTTTTTGTTTTTTGTTTTTTTGCGGTACACGGGCCTCTCTCACTGTTGTGGCCTCTCCCGTTGTGGAGCACAGGCTCCTGACACGCAGGCTCAGCAGCCATGGCTCACAGGCCCAGCCACCCCGCATCATGTGGGATCCTCCAGGACTGGGGCACGAGCCCGTGTGGCCTGCATTGGCAGGCGGACTCTCAACCACTGCGCCACCAGGGAAGCCCCAAGTATTAGGTTTTGAGGGATGAAAATGATTTAAAGATTTAATGTAAATTTAATTTTGCTTTGATTATATCAAAGCAATTATAAAATAGATGCTGTTAGGTTAATTTATATGTTACCAAGGATGATAATATGGAAATAGATATGGATGTTTAATGAAAATAAATAAACAAGGAAGCAATAGTTGACCCATAATTATATTTCTTTAGGGCTAAGAAATAAAAGGCATTCATGTAGACGTTTTGAATAGCTCCATTTAAAAAAGAAACGTCTTCTTACATCACTTACCTCCAGGTCTGAGTTTTCAAAGTTAACAGACTCTTTATTTCCATTATATATGAGATTAACCTCACTAACAGGAGTCTTTTCTTTACCCCATATATGGATGTATCCAAGCCGCATTTCATTTTCATTTATGTAACTATTTTTCAGTATAGTGCTTGTTAAGATTGTCTATAAAGACAAAGAAAAAGAAATTAAACCCTTCATCTAGCAAGTGCAATTAAATCTTTAAAAAGCATATATCTGTTAACCAAAATGTATTTCATAGTATAGCAAATTGTTTATTCATATATTTGAAAAGAGGTATGTTATATAATATATATAAAATATGTAAATATAAAATACAGCATAAAACTTCAAATATTATTTAACACAATTGCAAATAAATGATCTGTAGTGACTACATACCTTGTTTAAATTAAATTGTACAAAGAAATATAGGTCTCTTTCATAGGTGTCTATAGAGAAAAAAAAAAAGAGTGATGTATTTATATTTCCAAAGAAGAGCAATAGTAAATACTAGTACTGTATATTTTGCTTTTCTTTCACAGTAAATGGGTACCAAATACCATCAATGTATGTTTAATCTTCTCTAAGTTTATATATCTTATTTGAACACAGTCCAAGGAGCACTGAAATATGAAGGATGAGTCACCAGAGAGAGTACTAGATGGATGGGTTAGTTGGTATGTGCCTATTTGTATGTAGGAGAGTAACACTAAAGCAGTGGCACATGTAAAATCACCTTCACAGAGCTCTGGGAGGGTGGAAGAAGTGTAAGAATAAAGAGAATTGGGTGTGATAGTCGTGGACACTTACTGGCCACCTCAATGACTGACAATAAAATAATATTATAAAGAAAAGAGAACATGATGGTAACTTATCCTAGTGTCATTTGAGAAAAATATTCAATTGTGAGAGATTATTTCAGGTCAACTGAAATCAAACTGATAAAACATAGGCTTTATACCCAGCTCTTTAAATAAGATGCAATCTTGCCAAATTTAAAATCAGTTTAAAAATAATCTTAGAACTAAAATTTATTATTTAGTATTTGTTATTCTAAGTACTTTATCACAATGTTGTAAGAGATATGTATTATTATTACTCTCACTGTATAAAAGAGGGAAAGTTAAATAAATGGTCAAAAGTGAAACAACTAATTATTATCAAGTCTAGACTTATGTCCAGTTTTCTCTGATTTCTATGATTGTGTCATATGTAAAACCAAACAAACGTGTAAGGCAAAAAGGCAAAAGTAGAGTCAAATGCATGACTAAAACAAGTATTAGGATAACACTGAAAAAGCAATAAATTTTAATTCTCTTTTCTACTTATACCTGCCAGCATTATATTCATTAATTCTCAGAAAAAAAATTGCTTAATTTGAGACTAATTGTGCCTATACTAAAATTAAATGATATTCTGCCCCAAACTTTCTCTGTATATATTAATGTATACATCGTTTATTTAATATGCATTTTGAGGCAAAATTTTTAGTCTTAATTTTAAATACATAATTATAGCTTAAGTTTTTTTTTTTTTTTTGCGGTACGCGGGCCTCTCTGCTGTGACCTCTCCCGTTGCGGAGCACAGGCTCCGGACACGCAGGCTCAGCGGCCATGGCTCACGGGCCTAGCCGCTCCGCGGCATGTGGGATTCTCCCGGACCGGGGCACGAACCCTGGTGCTCTGCATCAGCAGGTGGACTCTCAACCACTGTGCCACCAGGGAAGCCCTATAGCTTAAGTTTTTAAGAGCAATTTTTAAAGTACAAATCAATGAGATAAAAGAAAACAAAAGTGAAGCTATTAAGAGGATATGAACGGTTTTGCTGTTTTTAATGAATAAGAGAAAGATACCACATATGAACTTAGTCCAGAGTAGACATATGTCTATTTCACTAAGATGAGTAGGACAAATTAATATTTTACTAAGCTACAATTTCATTAGCTACAACAGTCAAAATTTACTTAATGTATACACATTTCAAAATAAGTTTATTTTGCTTTATTTTTGCTTTTTTTTTTGAGAGAGAAAAAATGTCTACAAATAATAGAGATTGGGATAGAGTAAAGGGAGCAAGTAGGTGATTAAATAGTTAATTCCAGTAGGTGATTGTAAGTAAAGGAAAAAAACCTGTAAGTTAGTGATCACTCAAGAGAGGTTTGCTTAACCACAAAATCAAGCAGGCTTGCTTAGCAACAAAACCATACAGCATAAGCATGAGACATGCCCCAAAACAATAAAACAATGGTGGAATGAAACCCACATCCTGCCCAGTGAGGTCAGTAAGTTAATGATTCCTAGGACATGCTTTTCTGACCACACTAAAAACAAAAATATAAGGAAAAGGTGATATTATACTGAAACCTGAGATGATTTACCATATTTTAGTATATGTTACCACCTTTTTGCTCATTTCCATTGTGCCATGACAGTCCCGGTTTGACCATGTAGGGACAAGAAAACTTCCCCGCCCCATGAAGGAAGCTTGACATCTATTCAAGAATGAGGAAGAAGGTGGTCTTCTCCCCCTCCCCATTTTTCCTTTGATTATAAAACTGTAGCCCACTAAGTTCTCTGCGTGGCACCCTCTTGCCTGCCTGTTTGTAAACCTCACAAGCATCCTATTCTAATGAATTATTTCTTATCTATCACTTTGCCTCTCATTTAATACTTTCTGTGCTGAGACATAAAGAACTGGAGCTCCTTGGAGCCCACCAAGGCGTATTTCTACGATTTCAATAGTATTCCGTAAATTTTAAATGTACTTAAAAGAGGAAATCATTTAGATATCATCTAGTTTATCGAGTAGATTGGCAAACTTGCTGTGAGAGAAGACTTCTTTGGAGATTCTGATCTAATAAATCCAGAGACTCCAAGCATTTGTTATGTATTGTTTTTGCTGTTCACTCAAGAAATTTCAGGGGATTAGTTGAGATCATTATATTTAATTATAACAAATATACTGAGATTGTGAAATAGAGCCAAAAAAGTAGATGTAATGGGCCAGAACAATTTTGTATGCTTGCAGGAAGAGAACAGAGAGAAATATATGAATTATGTTCAGTTACTTTCCAGTGATAAAACAAAAAATTTGCCATGAAACTTCCATAGGGTAAAGGTTATACCAAGTTCTTTCATCTGCTATCTTAGTTTGATAGAAAGAGGTGGAAAAAAAAAATTGTAAGAGAAGCTTTGTCCCCATTACTGTTAAAACGAATTAACTCAATTTGTTAGACAGTAAGATTCAAATATCACAAGACAAGCATGCAAATTATGTATAACTCAACTTTGCATCCCTGGGAAATTGTAGGCAAATTCAAAGTGCCTCTTGCTGGGCCCAGTGAGGCAGAAAGGTTGCAAACTTTTTAGAATCTCCCTTAATGTATTAATGAAGTTCAGGGCTCTGAAAACATATGATTTTAACTAATAGCAGTTGAGTTCTTCACCTTCTAAATCACAAAATACTAGGAAGAGGTAATTTTATTTTATTTTATTTTTTTATTTTTTTTTTATTTTTTTTTTTTTGCGATACGCGGGCCTCTCACTGTTGTGGCCTCTCACACCGCGGGGCACAGGCTCCGGACGCGCAGGCCCAGCGGCCATGGCTCACGCGGCACGTGGGATCCTCCCAGACCGGGGCACGAACCCGTGTCCCCTGCATCGGCAGGCGGACTCTCAACTACTGCGCCACCGGGGAAGCCCAGTAATTTTATTTTTGAGTCTTGCTTATTACCATATGATTCTTATATCACTTTCTGATATGCTTTACTCACTAATAAATTCCTATTTATTATGTTTGCAGAATATTAACTATGATTTACCTGAAAAGATGAAAGATGTATATCTATTAATGAAAAATCTCTCATCTATGGATAATTTATTTAAATTGCAGTGAACTGCCCTATAGCTCCACACAGATGTTAGTTTTTAAGACAAAGATTTGTGTCGAGGGAATGCTCGGAAGTCCCATCTAGCAGAGCTGGCACTACTAATGGCAGTCAGTAAACCTAATCCTATAACAGTGTATATTTAACAGCGTAATAATGACCTGGGGGCATTTTACTCAAAGGCAGATTCCCGGGCCTCTCCCCAGATTAATGGAATTTAGATGGGTCCCAGAATATGCATTCTTTACAAACTATCCCAGGTAGCAGAGCACGCACTGCTAAAAGTTTAGTAGTTCAGTCTGATTTTGAGGAGTAGCCATGGAGTAAACAAAGTTTTAAGTTTAAATCTTTAAGCTTTTCATGTAAAAAACTGCTGAATATTAAAACAAAAACAAAAACAAAACAAAAGCTATAGTCATAAAGCACAGAGAACAAGTTTGAGTTTTGTTTCTGAACTCTCTCATGTTTTAGAGGCATCCTTTGTGCAACAATACGTGCACATGGGAACGTGGATTTTCAGCTCAGTTGACCTCACACATACTGAGTGTCTATTATGTGAACAGCACTGGGCTAACTTCTGGGACTACAAAGATGATCAATATATCAGCCCTGCCCACACAAAACTCTTAGTCATCTAGACACTGATCACAGGGATTAAATATATTTAGGATAAGAAGAAGGTCTTTAAATATGTGGAAGTCTATTTTTTAAGTTGATTCAACTATTTATTAAACTATTTTAGCTTTGAATAATATTATTGGCTTTTTATTCAGCTTCCAAAGTACAATAATAGGTAACAAAAAAGTAATGTGAGATAATATGTATGTTACCAGTTATATTTATCTCCTAAATGGAACACTTACCTATAGTCTCTCCATCATCCCAAAAGAGAGATCCTTGTGCCATCTGATTATCATCTGCGGCAACAATGAGCTTCATGTAATTTTTTCGACTATAAGAAAGAAATACAATTTGACCAAGGTTTATAGAGTAGCATATTTCTTTTTATGATATGACATCCATGTAAGTGTCCAAAGGAACACAGACTGTTTTAGGCAAAGAAAATAAAAGGATTTTCCTTTTTTAATGAGTTAATGGAAATTATATAAACCATAAAATCCTTCATATTTAATAGAAAATATCATGCATTTCTTTTTTCTTTTTTTTTTTTGCGGTATGCAGGCCTCCCACTGCTGCAGCCTCTCCCGTCGCGGAGCACAGGCTCCGGAAGCGCAGGCCCGGCGGCCATGGCTCACGCGCCCAGCCACCCCGCGTCATGTGGGATCTTCCCAGACCGGGGCACGAACCCGCGTCCCCTACATCAACAGGCGGACCCTCAACCACTGCGCCACCAGGGAAGCCCATATCTTGCATTTCTTTGACATCAAGAATTCACCTACTGTAACAAATCAGAAGTGGCCTCATTTATAATTAACCATATTAAGTTTATTGATATATTTATTTATTCTTCTCTCTGATAATACTGTCATTGACCATTAAACATAAAGCTGTTTCAATAGCATGTTTTAATCTCATATGACTTAAGCTTTCCTCACATTTCCATATATAAATCACTTAATTATCATTGGCAATTGTTAATAAGAATGTGAAGAGTAGCCAGAATTGCAAGTCTTTTCCTTGGATTGGACAGTACTTCCAAAGCTTGTGCCTACAATAGGCCTATCTATGAACTAAATATCTGCTTCCATGCTCAGTATACAAACTTGGTTTGACAGCCTCATATTGCTATGGAAGGATTTCTCAGACAAATTATGCTTAGCTATCTGCCTTTTCCAATCACAAATGTTGAAGGTTATACTGCTATGGAAGTCTTCTAAAATATCCAGAATATCTAGAGTTCAAATCTCCGCAGCAACTTTATATTTTCCATGTACAGATATTGGCATGTCTTAACATGTATGTATATATGTATTTCAATTCATAGTCACTGAGGTAAAAGATAAGTAGATCTTATTAGAAACATTAAAATCTGGTTTAACCCACAATTTCCTAACACACTTAAAATAAGATTAAAGGAGTTTCACAAATTTCATTCTACCTTGTATATACAGTTGACCAATGAACAATGTGTATCCAAGTATCCACAGTTCCTCTGCATCCACAGATTCAACCGACCACGGACTGAGTAGTACTGTACTATTTACTATTGAAAAATATCCATGTAAAAGTGGATCCATGTGATTCAAACTCATGCTGTTCAAAGGTCAACGGTATACCTAAACCCAATATCTTATTTACTTTACCCACCTACACACACACACACACACACACACACACACCCAGAACACTCAGAATGGCCTCTCTACTTGTCTCTCATAACATAAGGATTCCTCAAGGCACAACTTATGAATGGTCTCCTCCATGAAACTCTCATTTCTCAGGTATAATCATTTTTCTCCTCTTCAACTGACATCAGGGTAAAATATTGATAGAAATGGATCTGGGTAGCTCCAGAAGCTAGAAAGAGTCTACTCATGCCAACTGGGGCTGTCAGCATGTAGATCACCACAAGAGTGGGTACAGCATGAGATGAGAAGAGAAACAGAACTGAGTCCTCTAGAATCTGAATGTTTAATCCAGGAATTTAGTCAGGGGAAATAGACTCTATGACTGGTCTCAGAAATTCGCTCTTACATCAGTCACAGGAGACAGAATGGACCCATGATCCATGGAAATAGGACACGTTGTTGACTGTGAAGGAGAGAATATCACATAAGGGGTCTTAGCAGATGATCAGTTATAAATGGTAATGGATAGAAAATCTGAGTTACCTTTCATTGTTAAATGGGACAAGGTTGCTACAAATAGGTCTGGTTCTTCTGCAGACAGCAGAGGACTTAAATAGCGTGAAGGAGTAGTTATCTTGTCAATGGATATCTACATTTCATAGACTAAAGTGGGTCTGGGTATGTGTCACAGGACTGATGGAGGCAGAAAAGAGGGAGTAGAAAAGATAGAAGGAAAGAGAAGCCCTCTGAGCCATGTTTGCTTAAAGCTCACAGAAAAGTTCATTTATAAAACATATTTTCATAAAGTAAATAATATTTCTTTCCAAATAGACTCAGAAAAAATGACGGGGTCTCACGTGAGACTGGCACTTAAAATACAACACATCCGTTTATTAATACCTTTGCATGTTTACACAGAGGACATTAAGTTTCCATTGGTATTTTGGTCGGGGAAACATTCTATCATGTTGGAGGACAATTTTCCATGAGTTTCTCAAGTTTCTACATATTTTGCATACAGAAGCAATGACAGTTTTTCTGCCTTCAAAGCAAAGAATGGATGCTTTTGCTTACAGCCTATTATAAAAGATTGAGTTTCCAAAGTGTTGCCTTCCTTAGCTGTGACATAAGCCTCCTGGGTGGGCAGTATCCACCTGGGCCACTTGATGTCACCCACATGAGACTTGGGGGACAGGGGCAACTGGAGCAAACATGAAGCTCATATTTCTTGCTATGCCAAGAGTAAGAAAGACCTTTGTCTCAGACCCAGAATCCATGAAACTGTGGCAGGCTAACCTGTAAGCTTGGAAGTAGGATAAAATCTCAGACTTTTCCTGGTTCTTGACAATTCTAACATGCTCTTTCTCAAGATCTAATCTGAGTTCTGTGAACACTTCACTTACCTGTAAAATGTGTTTTGAGCAGCCTCTTGACAAGGTAGAATATAACCACCACGGACATGTAGATTTATTTCATATAAAGGAGCTGCAAATGTATGAAATTTTTCTCTGACACCAATATCTTTGCCCTGGAAATGACAGCATTGGACAAAAGAACAAAACAATAAGAAGCAGAATCACCAGCAATATTGGTACTTGAGGGGGCACATTTATAGAATCAAATAATATACTTTTTAATTTAAAAAATAATAAAACCACAAACATTTATTCAAGAATTCATGTTGTTAAAGCATATACTTATTCCTTAGTTTATTGATAGCTTTGAAAGTAATTTACCACCACTTGTTTTTGTGGTGCTCACATGAAGAAAATATATGGGTTTTTGATGGGTCACAAAAGTTATTCCTGATTTGTCATATACATTACTCTTTAAAGGACTGAATTACTTTTAATGATCTTTCTGCATACCTAATAAAGGGCAATTGTGTATACTGTATAATTTCCACATTTATTTGGTAAAATAAATCAATGACTACATAAGAAACTATGGCAGAATAAATTAACTCTTTCACTGTTTGTTAATTCTATTCTGATATAATTAGCAAGAAATATCTTGCTCTTTTTAAGTGGAAAGGAAAAAAAGTATGTCGTTAATAAAAAGGCTATAACTAAGTTGTTACCCATTTCTGTTTAGTCAATCCCCCAGAATTCCTTAACTACTTACTGTATGGTAATCAAACCACCGAGCATTAGGGACATAGCCTTCTACAGTGTCAGCGTCCTGGAATTTAAAGATATAGTCATTAAAAACATATAAACCATGGAAAAATTATTTTGTGAACAAAAGTATGTGGTAGGACTTACAGCTTCCAATACAGGGGTAACCATAAATGCTGGACCCCACAGGAACTGTTTGAATATATTCCAGGTTGGCTTTTCATTAAAGAACCTGGACAAAATATTCACAAAATTAAATCAAAGAAATTTATCTCTTCTGAATACCATAAAATAATTATTAAAATCACATTTTGCAGTATGGACTTTTGTGGATTGAAATGAAAATCAAAACATAAAAAATCAAAAACAATTTTATCACTTGGAATTCAGTGTGCAGTGTACAATACTTTATAAGTAAATCTAGACCATGACTAAACATTCCAACAAAGCACAGAGCTGCCATGGATGTGTAAGACCGAGTGAGAAATCTCCTTTGAAGAGAACTCACATAAATTCAAATATTAACGTTGTCTAGTAGAAGATCAACAAACCAGGAAGCAAGAATTATAAACACTCTGGAAGAAAAGTGTGAGACAAGTGTGTTATAAGAATCTTAATTTGGTAACTTTAAAAAGAGTTTGCACATCCTATGTAAATAAAGCTCACTGAATAGTGAATTTATAAATCCTTAAAGGTTCTTCCATTTGTTAATATGTTTCTTAGTTTGAGATATAAAGGGCTGAAAAAACAAAATCTGCTTTTTATAGTTTGAGAATTGCCACTATTAAATGTCCACATTTTTTCTTTAATTGAAATGGAAGTATACATTTTTTATTTTTGTTCTTTTGTTTGTGTTTTGTTTTACTCTAAACTGAGATTAATGCTAAATTGGACTGCTGGGTTTTTCCTCTATGTACTTCCCATGGGAACAAAAACCCAGAAGTTCTCAGCAGGACAAGAGTCTGCATAGTTAATAATAATGTTTCTGGCTGGGGACTCAGACCAGTGCTGATACTCCAGCTCTTCTGGAAAGTTAATAGGGAGAAGTCAAAGAGGAAAATTCTAGAAATAAAAGAGGAAAGAGTTTAATAAAATATTACCAGAAATAAAGAAGGGATTACGGTAATAAATTACTAGAGGATAATTTGAATCTAGGAAGTTTTTTTTTTTTTTCCTTTTTTTTGGAAAGTTGGATATTTTATTATTAGAACAGAAGGCATATTGATCTACTTATTATTTTGGTAATTTTATCTTGGCTACTACTGTTTAATTGGAGTAAATATTCGCTGTTTATTTTTTACTGATTTATCAATAGTGAAATCTAACAAATCACCCCAATCAATTACTCTGGTAATATAGGGCACACAAGAAGCTAAGTATATCATGATTATTTCAAGGTTTTTTTTGTATTTATGGTTGAATGTGTTTGTGGGTTTTTTTGTAACATCCGTAAGAAATTGCTTGTATTTGCCTTAAAAATAGAGTGGGCTAAAATTTTTGCAACTATACTCCATAGAATAGAATTTCAATATTTGGTCATATATCAGTTTGAGCTTCAAGGAGTAAATCCAAAACAATTGTCACAGAAAATGGTAGAACTGTTCTAGGGTACCCAATTAGAACACCTCTAGGAGGAGTTAGGATGGTCTTCTTAGTCAGGCATTTGTATATGGTGGATTTACTTAACTGCTGTAAACTTCAATTAAGTCAACATAATTTAGAGATTTAGAGATTACTTATTTCCAAGACCTTTTGAAAACACTCAATGTAGTAAGGTATGTAAATTATCTCAAACAATACCTGGTATACAATAGTTATTCCTAAGAATTATTACTTTTTAAAAACTGATTGTGTTTCATTTATAATGGCATATATTAGTCTGTTTATTAGTAGATTTATTTATGTAAATGTTTATTAACCCAAAATGTACACTTAAATAACAATGAAAAATCTGTCAATTTAAAATGTTTTATATGGCAGTATAAGTGATTACTGAGTAAATTAAATGAAAGCTATCTCTCTCTGTGATAGGAAAAAAAATTTGTGCTTACTCATGCAAAAGGGGTCTGATAACAGTGCCACCATGAGCATGAATTTCATGCATCTGTGTATAGAAATAGGGCAATAAAGTGTATCTAATATTTAGAATATTCCTTGACATTTCAGAAAAAGTTGCATTCCAAGAAGGAGGATCTTGTCTCTGAAACAAAGCAAAATGAAAGTGTCATAAGCTGTTGTCCTTGTTTAAATCATAATTTTCAAATACATATTTGAAGAATAAAAAATAAGGCATAATTTAATTCACTGTCATGTGCTACATCACAAAAACCTTATGGAGTAGTTATTTCTATCTCATACAATGGAAAGAGAAAGCATAACTAATATTTTAGTAAGAAAATGCAAATTAAGTCCATGGCTTGATTTCATTTAGGTGAACATATGTAAAGAGCAGTTCACATTTGAATAGGTGACAAACACATTGTCAACTGTGGTGATGCTCAGTGTAGGGTGAAAAGTCAAGGAGAGAAACAGAATGCTATATATAAGTGCATTGAAATAAACAGACATGCAGAGCTCATCATGGTGACCCTGCACATTGTGTGTTCTTATGAGAAATGAATAAGTTATGGTACTAAAGAATTAATAGTATAGGAGGAAGAGGGGATCTAATTAATGTTGGATAAGAAAAAAGAACATGCCCATGTCTGCTCTGGAATATACTCTCCAGGTAAAAAGACTAAAATTGACACTGGAAAGATAAAAGCTTCTAAAAAGTGTTATTGCACTTACTGGCTAAAAAAAAATAATAAGGAGAGTGATTAGTATTTTACATTCTAATTTATACCAAGGGAAAAAAACAAGGCTGCCACATAACTCCAGGGGGCAACACTTGCAATATTTTCTTGTTGTTATCAACAGGAGCAGAGCCCTTAAGAGTGGTATCATATCTATGAAGATTCCAACTTTTCTAGATTTAAGTAGTAAGAACGTTTGAATGATGACCCATTGCTATCACCGGTACATGTAGTGTTAGAATAGGCAAAACCTTGAAAGTGCAATGGTCCAAGAAATATTAAGCTATATATCAATATGATCCTACTGTTACTAGATTCAAAGTCAAGTTAGAAAAGGCAAAGGTCATATCTGTTGCATACTGACTTTGTTCATGTTATTTCAGTTTTAACATGATAAAACACAAACATTTAATTCTAAACCATACATTCCTAAATTCAATTATATTACCTCATAATTAAACTTGAGTTCTGTAGATTTTTATTCAGAAGTACTTCGTCAGTCTTTCCCTCTCCCATTTCATCTTCTCAAAAGCTCCAGCCACATTCACATCTTGGAGTCTTTCACTTGTTCCCCAGAACTGGAATTCTCCCCCATATATGTAAATTTGTTGCTTTGCTCAACTCAAGTCTCTGCTCTAATGAAGCAAACTTGAGTTTGCTTCAACTCAAGTCTCTGCTCTAACTTCATCCAAGAGGACCACCTTGAGCATCCCTTCTAAACCAGAACACCCACAAATCTCTATCATTTTAGCTTACTCTAGTTTTCCCTCATATGATTTATTTGTATCTGCTGTTTTATATATATATACAGTTGTCTATTATCTGTTATCTCTATCCTTCCTGCATTATATAAAGTATTAGGGCAGGGATTTTGTAAATATTAAATAATAGATTTTAAATGAATTCTTGTTGAATGAATCCCTGTTCAGGATTTTATTGATTCATGCCTCACTCTCCCAACAATACAGCTTTCTGAATTTCATTACTCACATAAAGTTTTCCTGCTAAAATATTCCTATCCCATCAAGTTGTCTCTATTGCCCAACTTTCAAATTTTTCCAAAATGTGGTCCCATACTGCCTTTTAACTTTGTATAGATTTTCATTTTTATTTTTCATTTTCTAATATAAATTCTCCCTTGTATTCTGACAAAAAATTTCCCAGGGTGACATGAAGAATTCAAAACTCATGATGAGCTCTATCATTCGGTTACTATGACTGGAACCCAACCTTAAAAGACCAGCTCTGTCTACAATTCTTCCATGATAATTAATTCTTCCATTTTGATAATTTATCTTTCTTCTATATGTCTTCACTGAAAGTATAACAAAATTTAGCACTTACTTATATATTGCTTGCAATTGTTTATACTTTTTCATAATTTTTATTATTGTCTCCCCCTCACTCAAAAAGTTCTTCCAGTTTAGTAAAGTATATAGTAAAGTAAATAGTGTTACCACTCAGAAATTAGTTTTCATGATTCCCTTTTCCTTTTATTTTTTTCTGTTTCTCAACTCATTTTTAAAACATTTGCCTTTTAAATCTGCCCATTTTGTACATTGATTTTAAGTGACTTTTCTAATTATTTAATTTGAAACTGATTTTTTTTTTTTTTATCTTTCTGTCCAGGTTTGGAATAATTTCCAGAAGGAATTTTTTTTTCTGGCTAATTCAAAATTTTATAGAACAGCAGTAAGTATGCAAGCTAACCAAGTCTTGAACCCCAAAGTATAAAGATAACCCAAGTCAGAAACTTCTCAGAGTGATGGGCTCAGATGCTGTCAGTAAATGTAAAGAGATTCAAAACATTCATCTGGAGATCAGCCAGGAAGGGTGAATTCTATTCAAAAACGTTTAAGGTTAGTGGGGCAAAGGAATGAGAGTAAATGCAGTAATTACATACTCCAGTAAATGCAGTGTTGTGACTTCTTGCATTTGGATAAAATGCTCCAAGTTGCATCCAGCGGGCACAGAGCTGATATTCCGAATTGTTGAAGAAACCACAGATATCTGCTCCAGTCTAAAATACAGTTATATTTAATTAATTTTAATAGTTTGTTTTTAATATTAATGAGTGATGAAGATAAAAGGAATAGAACTACTTACATATGACATTCCAAACAAACTAAATTCCATCATACCTAAAAAAATTAGGAAAAAATTATAGAAGGCCACTATTTCATATATTTTGACATTTTTTTTTCTGTTTATGAAGACGTTCTATTTCTAATACTGACCTTTAATTCAATGAAACATTTTTCAGATTATTGATATACTTTTCTATCATTTCTTCTCATGAAATTTATGTATTTTTTACTTTATAATGTTAATGACATTTATAAAAATAAGACACTCTAATAATGCGTCCTTGATACTTTCAAGATGACACATTTAGATCACAAAACTATTACAAACACATTATAGTATGAGAAGAAAGTGTTAGTGGTTCCTTTTTTTAAAAAATAAATTTATTTATTTTTTATTTATAGCTGCATTGGGTCTTCGTTGCTGCATGCAGGCTTTCTCTAGTTGCAGCGAGCAGGGGCTACTGTTCCTTGTGGTGCGTGGGCTTCTCACTGCAGTGGCTTCTCTTGTTGCGGAGCACGGGCTCTAGGCACTCGGGCTTCAGTAGTTGTGGCTCGTGGGCTCTAGAATGCAGGTTCAGTAGTTATGGAGCACAGGCTTAGTTGTTCTGTGTCATCTGGAATCTTCCCGGGCCAGGGTTCAAACCCGTGTCCCCTGCATTGGCAGGAGGATTCTTAACCACTGCACCACCAGGGAAGTCTTCCTTGGTTTTATTTTTTAAATAAAATGCTGTCTCTGTAATTATTTAACCTTAGGTCTCATTATATGAAACAAACTGAATTATCCTTATTAGCTAAAAATCTCCTGAGGAATGATCATTTTAATAAAACAGAATGCATGTGAATTCCCACCTCTTCTTTTAAAGGAATATTTCTAAACATTGATTGTTTTCCTTGAATCCTAATATAAATTGTAAAGAATTTTTATGTCTAGATATGAAACAGAAAAATATTCTCTTTAAAATAATAGTTCATTTAATCTATTGTCAGAAAACTTTCAAAATTTGGTTTGAGATGTTTCATACTTTAGCATCTATGAGTGATTCTTATTCCCTAGAATCTAGAATTTCTAAGCATTTCTACTCTTAGCTCTATATGTTATCCTTCCCATTTCTTGCCCTTTCATAGAAGGAAACTGAGACCAAAAGGGATGAAATTTTCTCAAAATAAACTAGATCCTGCTTTCTGGCCCATTGCCTTTTCATTATGCTGTTTGTAATAAAATATGATGCCAAAAGCACATTTCAGAGAAGGACTTACAAAGTATATGAACTAGCAAAAGTGAAGATTCAAAGGAATAATGATAAAGATGGTGACTCTCACATACCAATGATAGATTTGTCCAAATTGTCCCATTTTGCATAGTTGTCTCCAAGCCAGTGTCCTACCCATCTTCCAGCAGTAGGATATGTGGAACGAGAAATAACAATTCCTCTTTTGCCAGTTGCCTTCTGCAATGCACTAATATAGATGGAGAGGATCTATGAGTTTTTATATGAGGTATTTTCTTTGGATATTTCTACTTAGGACAACTTCATTAAAGAAAAAACTATCTGATTTATGGTGTCTATGCTGTCTCTTATTACGACTAGCTCTTTATAAGTGAGTCTTTGCTCATTATACTATAAAATCCTTACAAGCATGAAGGACATCTTTTTTCCTTCCAACATTTTCCAGAGTGACATGTCTAAGTGGCCCTTTATTTATTGGTTCAGTGAATACAAGTCAACTATTGATATTATCAAATCAACTAATTATATTGAAAGTTTTTGAATGAACACATTTTATTCTACTTAAATGTGTTCTCTTAATAAAGATTTAGGCTCCATTAATTGATCCAACCCTTTTTATTTATAACTTGTCAACATCTAATCTTCATATTACTCTGCAGAGAATATTTGCTATAATGCTTCCTGTTTTAGGGAGTATTCATATATATATATATATATATATTAGTTGGAAAAAAATGTTTATTTTTATATTACTTAAGATAATTTGTATATGAACAAGGAATAGAGAACTATATCAGGAGGAAATATTTCAAATACTTAATTAGGCAGATTTGTAACCCACTATCATGTTATAAACTGTATCTAATCATTTCCTTGTTAAAGATGGACCACAGTAATTGTACTCATTTGTTTATACATAAACCTTCTTCAATGACACCTTGAGATTCTTGAGGTTAAGGACTGACTTAATCTTCTTTATATTCCTTACACCTAATATGTATAATAGTAGCTTAAGAAATATTTGAATTCATGAATATCTCAAAATTACAGGAAACTGAAAATATTTTAAACAGATATATGATATATTGAACCATCTGTTGATAATAGAAACAATATTGTATTTGCTAACTTAAAATTTCCTACTTGTATGTCTCTCTTTAAAAAAATCATACAAGAAAACCATCTTCACTGCTTCATTTTTTATAAAAAATATAAAGGATCTAGTCAATTGAGAATCAGTAATATATTTAACATATGTCACACATATTTGCAGACATTTAACAAGAAATGAATGAATATTTATGTAGCGAATGGAAGAACTGATGATCAGTTTAGAAATCTTCATGGAAGCATATCTTAAGTTTAGTTAATTTGTAAAGAAAATTGTAAAGAAAATTCATTTTATTTAATTGATGTAAAAATTATTTACAAGGATAGAGTTGTCCCAAATCTTTAATGTTTCCACATACAAGAAATACATATTCTTTAAGGTTCTTTTTTTGGCCTTATGTCTTACTTTTGAAAAAAGTCTTTACTGAGGCTTTAAGTTAATAACCAAATATATGTCTTTTTAAATTTCTGATTGAGAAGAATTCTGCATAAAATATTTTCATAACAATTTTCTCTTAAGGGAAATCTAACCTCTTGCACTAGAAAAATCTCCTTTGTAACCCTTCACAGAATATTTCTTATTTGAGAAATCACTTGCCACCAATAAAACTATAATTTAAAATTACATAGCTATAAATATTTTGTAGATATTTCCATCATGCTCCAACTTTACAGATGGTTGATCACAATGAACTTAATTTAATTTTTTTTTTTTTTTTTTTTTTTTTGCGGTACGCGGGCCTCTCGCTGTCGTGGCCTCTCCCGTTGCGGGGCACAGGCTCCGGACGTGCAGGCTCAGCGGCCATGGCTCACGGGCCTAGCCACTCCACGGGATGTGGGATCTTCCTGGACTGGGGCACGAACCCGTGTTGCCTGCATCGGCAGGCGGGCTCTCAACCACTGCCCCACCAGGGAAGCCCGAACTTAATTTAATTTTAAGAAACACTTTTCAACCATAATACAGTTTGTTCTCTGTTACAAGTTGATTTGGAAAATTTAGCTTATAAAAAGAATTTCAATGTTGTGTTACAGAAACATTTTTATTACATGTTTATAATTGTCTACATGAGCAGTTTTTGAAAAGTATTAGAAAAGTTATAAAAATATCTTATATTATTGGGAAAAAAAGTCCTTCTAAAGGAAAACAATGAATTTAGAAAACTGTACATGTCGATTACAAATGTGGGTTATGTGAAAGGAGAATATTGAATTGAAAAAAAATATTTAATACTTTAAAGCCCTAACAATAAATAAATATCTTTATTTTTGTCATGGTTTCTAAAGATAATAATTTCAAAATGATTAAGTTGACTATTGTTTTTAATTACTGATGAAATCAATTGGTAAATATACCCCCAATACTGCTATCTCTGACTGGGTGATATTAAATTATTTTAGAATATTGACCAGTAATGCTCAAAGAATAGAAAGTTATACAGGATTGTTTCTCTCACTGTTTATCTAAGAAATCTCTTTGAAAACTAAAGACTTTTTTTGAATTACATTTTTAGAAAGCAAAAAATTTAGTATTATATATTTACTATCCATTAGAAAGTAACTTGCCAGTTTCACAACTCAAAGAGACTCACCGTTAGATCAGAAAATGTAATTTCAGTTTTAGTTTTATAGTTGGATAACAAGTTTTTGTAAGCTGAAATATTTCCATTGTTTTTGAGTGTATAAGTAAAACTTAAATTTGAGATTTCTTTAGTGAGAAGAATGTGAAAGTCTAAACCATGGAAATGGTTTTATGGATTCAGATCTCAATTTTTTTTTTTAACATTGATACCAGCTACATCAATGTTCAACTCAGCCATATTAATCAGAAAGTAATATCTAAGAGACAAGTATTACATATTTTTTCAAGTTACTAACAGTTAATTAAGAGAAAGTTACAGCTATAACCAAGAAAACTTCCAAATTATATATGATCTGTATAGTGTTTTTTTTTTTTTAATCTATACCAGTCTTATTTTTTGTTAAAAAAATTGCAAGAAGAGGTCACTTCCTATAGTACACAATTCTCCCCAAAATAAAGCCCCTCTTATTTTTCAGGTTAGATTCACTAAACATCGAAAAGCAACATAATTTTCCAAGTTGCTAAATAACCCAGTCTCTAGGAATATCTGAGAAAATAACATATTTATTAAAATTTTTTTTCATTCTAAATTAAGATTACAAAAATCTTGGGCATTTACTTAAAAATTATATACTTAACACAACCTGAACTTCCAAAGGGAGTCAAAGATTTTGATTTTTCTATGTTCTTTCTTAATGAAAAATATGTAGTACTCTCAAAATTCATTCAAGGTATTGTTGAAGATGAAAGTATGGAATATATAGCTGTATAATCCTTGGATAATTATCTGAGATTTAAACACACAATTCGAAATTTTAAAAATATATTTCTCCCTACATCTGAAGCATAGGCTTTATTTCAGTACAATATTGAATTTTAAGTAAGACAAAGATCAGTTGAAGACTGAAAACTTTTTGTATGGGATTTATACATGAAACTTCTTCATTTGCCACTGATCTCCAAGGTTGTTTTCTATGAAACTATTTGCAGTCTTTCAAGCTGATCATTTACCTCCTATTTCTGCATCCACTCATTCTGTTCTTTCCTTGTTTCGGTTGTTTCATGTTAAGTGAAGAGCACAATAACAAGAACTAGATGAATGTCAAATGTGTCCAATTTTGAAAACAGAAAATGTGTCACAGAAAGGAAGAATAAAATGGTACAGTCTGAGTAACTTGAAGAAATAAATTGCACTCTTAATCCCTTCAGTTTTCTCAAATGATAAAAAGCCTTTACTCTCCATTATTTGCTTAAACATAATTTATTTATAGCATCCTTTTACATTTGTCAAGGCCTTAAATGTATAATGACTATATTTAATTTCTAAAATATCTGAAGGAGAGTTCAACAATTTTTTTCTCATATAACTGAAAAAATTAAATAGTAAGTATTTAAAAGATATAAAAAGTCTATAGCTATGCATAAATTGGGCTTTTTAACTCAACATTTAAAATTTATTAATCTGTTTAACTTAACAAATGTAGTTAAATTTTACTGAAAAATTTTATGGACAGGAGCAAAATTAACATTATTAAAGGGAAGTTCTTTGGAAGATTGTACTGATATCTTCTTCATAATGTTATTTAAGAGTTAAAAATGGTTCTTAAACATCTCTAAACACCTTTGTATACCAACTATTTAGAAATTTACCTACTTTTGCCTTGAATTTATTTATATAATTTTGATAGTTGTGGTGAGATAAAAATTGATTCACTTACATTTACTAAACATCCTACAGTGTGTCAGGAACCATGCTAGATTCTGCAATGTGTTCCAGAAGTTCAATTTACTGCCCTCTATGAAAAAAATATTTTCTTCCAATTTTCCTTAAAGTACATATTTTCATCTCAAGATGCATAAGTTTTGCCAAAGAGTTTATCACTCACTTCTCAATATTTTTGTTATGTTTAATATCTATAGCTTTATGGTAAAGTGAGGTTAGCTGAGGATAATTGTGCTCCAATATTATGCTCCAGTAGGGTTAACTGAAGAAGCATTTGTCCCAACAAAAAGGCATTATTGAAGACCAGTTTGTTTACTCTTTTTTTTATATTACAAAATATTTATTATGAATTTTTTCAAGTTGACATTGTCAGTGTTTCTCCAAAGTAGTTTCTCTTATACACATCTTTGAATTACTGCATAACAGAATTTAGGATCTTGAAGAGCCTCTATTTTGATGTTATGGTCAAACAACACAAAATTCTAGCACAAGACAAGGAAATTTATCCCCACCTCAGATCCTCATTTCCCAGGAACCAGCATTGTTTTATTTCCACTTAGCCAAATATATTTTAATTGATTATTATCCCTCTTTCCATGGAGATTTTAAATTCATTGGCACTGTCTAGTAACATACTGAGACATTCATTAAATCCTAGAAGTGTGCCAACCATATCCTTGTCACAGATCGACAAAGAGCAAATCCATGATTCTTATCCACAGATCCCAATTGTAGAAGATATAATGCACTTATTATGGTTTAGGTGGCCACAGATGTCCTAGAAATAGCTTATGACAAATTTTATATACTTTCTTTGCCTTGGTGAAATGTAGTTTCCTTCCTTTACTCCCCGGCATATTTCTTTTTATTCTTCAAGATCAGTTCAAATGATAACTTTTCTTTTGATGTCACTTCTATTTTCCTGATAGAGTTAGCTGAGCACTCTCCTTGTTTCTCATAACACTATTGTAGTACCTATCACATTACACAGATTTTGATTTTTTGTCAGTTTGTTTACTCTTTTTTTTTTTTTAACATCTTTTTTGGAGTAAAATTGCTTTACAATGTTGTGTTAGTTTCCGCTGTATAACAAAGTGAATCAGCTATATGCATACATATATTCCCATATCCTCTCTCTCTTGCATCCCCCTCCCACCCTCCCTATCCCACCCCTTTAGGTGGTCACAAAGCACCAAGCTGATCTCCCTGTGTTATGCAGCTGCTTCCAACTAGCTGTTTTACATTTGGTAGTGCATATATGTCAATGCTACTCTCTCACTTTGTTTCAGCTTGCCCTTTCCCTTCCCTGTATCCTCAAGTCCATTCTCTGCATCTTTATTCCTGTCCTGCTGATATTCCTTAGTCTTTCTGCATGTTCTAAGTGCCCTTACATTGGGATTTGGTCAACAAATCTGCAGTCATTCATTCATGTAATAATATCTTAAATAATTCACATATTCTAGGTTGAAAAAGAATTTGGTGCTAGAAATAAGATAAACATGTTTCACTAAGTGAGGAAATATTACCCATACCCTTTACTCCAAAATGCTTTTCATTCTTTTTCCAACTTCTGTCATATATTAGAGCCATGGTTTTCAGCCCTGGATACTCATTAGAACCACCTGGGGGATTTTTAAAACTTCAGATGCTTATGCTACAGTTCAGATTAATTAAATCAGCATTTATTAAAAAATCTTCAGTTTGAACTATATTTTAAATAGATAACCAACAAGGACCTGCTGTATAGCCCAGGTAACTCTACTCAATATTCTGTAACAAGCTAAATGGGAAAAGAATTTGAAGAAGAATATATACATGTATACATATAACTGAATCACTTTGCTCTACACCTGAAACGAACACAACATTGTAAATCAAATATACCCCAATATAAAATAAAAATTAAAAAAATAATCTCCAGTTGATTACAGTGTGTGGTTAAGAACCAGTGATCTAGAGCTGCACTGTGTAATATAGTGACCACTAGCCATGTGGGGCTATTTAATTTACATTTATGAAAATTAAATAAAATTTTAAATTCTATTTCTGAGTCACACTAGCCACATTGCTCAACAACCATATATGGCTAGTGGCTACCATATTGGACAATAGAGAAAATTATAGAACATTTCTATCATTGCAGAACATTTTATTGCACAGTGTTAATAAAGACTTGATACTCAAAGAATGGCCTGTATTCCATCATCATTAACCTCATATAAGATTTTGTTTAATATGGATATTAAAGTTTAAGAAGCTTAAGGTCATTGACATATATTCTTATTTGCTAATAATGGATTTAAATAGCAGATTTAGTCAGATTTCATGTTTTAATTAGTGACATCAAACTATATATTATTTACTCAATTATTCATTAAAAATTATTCTTTGAGCATTGACTATTTGTTAGGCATTTTGCTACTATAAGCTGGGTGCATACTGGGGAACAAAATAAAATGGTTCAGGGTTCTTTTGGGAATTGGATAAAAATTTAAAACAAAGATACAGAGAGAGAGACAATTATTCTAAGTGCCATGAAGGACCAAGTAAGATAAGGTCAGCAGGGAAGGACTCAAAAGAGGTAACATTAAAACTAATATCTAAAGAATAAGAGTCAGAAACGATGATTATGAAGATTGCTTACTCATAAGTAAGTTTCGCTTGTGACCATCCATATAGATTGTGAACATCGTAATGCAAAACGGATGATCCATCACTAAGAATCTGCTCAGTTTCCATACACATGGTTCTGAAATGTAATCCATCAGTTCTTTTTGTGAGTTCTGAGGAGAATTAATAAAAAAAATTAATATGTTATAAAGTAACTTATATTGAAATATGTAAATTGTAACTATAAATTATTTTGGCAAAACATTAATCATTGTTTGAAAATATTATTGATTTTTTTAACCATTTGTGCACTTTGTTTGTGCTAATTATAAATGAAAAAATGGTCTGCAATGTGATTGCAGTTTGTGACTGGAAAATATGTGCACAATTTTGCTATATTCAATAATAAAAATGTTACTAATTAACATGAACTCATAAAAACCTGAAAAGTAAGTGTACTCCGAAAAGTCTACTATATTTTATGCATTTAGATGAGAAATACTGATTAAATAGATTTTTTAAAAAATCCATTTGCTAACATAAAGCCCTGGCATATTTTCTCAGTTTCAGACGCAAATTTTCAAAGCTTTTCCATCACTTTAGATGTAACTGTTTATGCAGTTTACTGCCTACATAAGAGCATGAGGATGAATGCTGAAAGACTACTTTTCCCTCCTAGGTCAGGGACAACCAAAGAAGTGTTGTTAGCATTCTTTCACTTTTTTCCCAATAAAGAAAATCTTTATAAAAGATTTTAATTTTTTATCTTAAAGAATATTGAGAATTCTCAAATCTGGGAAGATTCTTAAGAAAATCAAAGTAACAACTTCAAATTTAGAAATGTATTCATATAGATAAAACATGTTTCTTGAGTTTTCTTCTCGAAGTAATGTTAGATGATTTATATGATATTGGTAATGGGTTGAGGTGTGGTCCAGTGTGTAGATAGGTAATGAGAATTGGAAATGTGAATCCTGTTCTCTATGTCATAAGGTATAAAAACCTGATTAATAAATAATAATAGCATGATAACAGCCAAGGCACAGCAGCAATATTGTACCTGGGAAATAAGGTGGGTAATTTAGCTCTGTATTTCTGCATTGATTAGTAGTTGTTCCATTTACAAAGCTTGATGGTTCATTCATATCCTTAAAAAGAGAAAGAAAAGTAAACAAAAAACAAATTTAGGGCATATCTTCTTAAAAGAACTAATTCAGAGACCCAGTAAATTAAAGTAGGATATTTGAATAATAGTACTTTACTATTCTAAAAAGCAAAAGTATAAGGCATCTCAACAACACTAAAGAATTTAGTTTAGCTCAGTCTTTCTTAACCTTTTACAATTCACATCTCCTTTTGAAAACCATAAAATGTCCTATTTTTCTCTGTAGATAAAATCTATATAAAAGTGAATTGTTTTCTATGTTTCTAGACATTAAATTATAATAGTGTATATTCCCCCATGTCTTTCCCTCCATTTCTGTCCTGGAGCCTTGTATCAATTTTTTTAAAACAATAGTTTGTGGTTTTTAAAACCACAAGATAATAGTTTACAAATACAGAAAATTTCAAAGAGTATCTCTATTGAGTACACATTTCAGAATTTTAGTAACCATATATTAACGGACCATCATATAAAAATATAAATTAGTTGCCATTTAAAGGTGATTTCTTCATCATAAAAAGGTTATCTTTTCTGGATCAAGATATAATTATTGGAGACATATTTAATGGAATCCCTTATAGTACATAACTTTATATATTTAAAAAAAACTATCTTTATACAACTTTACATCCTCAAGGCTTATACATAACAGCACCCTTATAAGTTTTTTTAATTAAAAAAGTAAGTAAATTAATGCATACATATTGAAAAATCAGCAGAGTAGAAATGTCACCTCCAAAAATCTAGATAAGTATTATGTAAATATCTCCTGTATTAAATATTTACTTGTGATAAAGTAAATTCTTTTTATGCTATCTCAAAATTATATTAAAAATCTTATTGCCAGCATTTTAAAGTTAAAATTAGGATATTATTTAGAAGATGATTTTGCTACATCTGTAAGAGTTTATGGCTTTCCTCACCAAAGACTGACAGTTGAGTGTGAGACATATCTATATTGAATGAAAATAAAATAAATATTTATAAGCATTTATATATCATTATATAAAGAGACTATTTTTGTCTCTTGGTCAAGTTGAAAATATTCAACTTTAATATTCAGGAAATAGCAACTAAATACTTAAACTGAATTGTTAAAACTGCATTTTAACAGTCTTTTGCATAAGAAAGTTCTATGGAAAAAATTAGTGAGCTAATTTCATAAAGAATACTTTGTTAACATTATTAAAATCTAGTAAGAATTTTGCAAAATCAATACACAATAAATAACTTAAAATATAAATTTCTTGAAGTTTACTTACAATCCACAAGCCATCAAACTTCATCTGGTTATTGTAGAAATCTATAATTTCCCTTGTCCACCACTCTGCTGTGGAGTTCCTGAAGAAATCTGGAAAAGCTACATGAGCTCTGGAACCCTGTAAAAACAAAATTTAGACCCACATATAGAAAGTCATAAGAGAGACCAGTCAGTCACACATTTATCTGTCAGATTCACAAGTGATAGTGAAGGCAGCCTGATCTCAACTTTAATGAATGTGTATGATTTTCCTCCAGCCACTCAAGCCTATGTGTGTCCTTAAATCTAAACTGAGTTTCTTATAGACAGCATATACAAAATTTACAAATTGTTAGCTAGACTAAGAAAAAAAGAAGATGAGAATTACAGCTGATGTCACAGAAATAGCAAGGATCGTAAGAGGCCATGATAAATAATTATACAACAGACTGGATAACCTAGAAGAAATGGACACATTTCTAGTTTCAGACAACCTAACAATATCTGATAAGTAGAGATGCAAATATCCTCAACCAAAATATTAGCAGTCACATTCAACAGCACATTAAAAGTCTCATACACCATGAATAAGTGGGATCTTTCCCTCTGAGGCAAGGATTATTTAACATACAGAAATCAACCATTGTGATTCAGCACATCAACAGAATGAATGATAAAAATCACATGGTCAGGGGTTCCCTGGTGGCACAGTGGTTGAGAGTCCGCCTACTGATGCAGGGGACACGGGTTTGTGCCCCGGTCTGGGAAGATCCCACATGTCGCGGAGCGGCTAGGCCCGTGAACCATGGCCGCTGAGCCTGCGCATCCGGAGCCTGTGCTCCGCAACGGGAGAGGCCACAACAGTGAGAGGCCCGTG